ATTAAGATTTACATGTACAAGATGGTAGTTCGGTCTTGAAGGGAAGGTCACGAAGTTTGGACAGAATGGTCAGTTTCAGATATTTAGAGGAATGCTATAACTGCTCGGTAATCTCTAAGAATGGTGCACATTTCAGAAGGCGCATAGTGTTTTGACTTACGGATATTCATCGGTATTGCGGTACTCACCTGGTTGATAGATTGTTGATATTCCAATTATTGCTATGTGGCATGGAAATTTTTTGGAAGAATTCCTCGTGGGATGATTGTGCATGAAAGATGTGTTAATCATTCGAGTGTTGGAGTTGGGGCCAGTTACGATGATTCATGTGTTCTATGAGTTTGGAGACTGGGAGTTCTCAGAAGCATATTATTTCGAGGTTGCGGCCTGTTTGAGGTGACAATTTTATTTAAACTTAGTGGATGCACTAGTTGCGTTAATTATTTGTGACAACTACGCGCTACGAGTGCGTATATATGTGAGGTTTGAGCCAATGTGCGGGCATCGGGGCAAGTATTTATACTCGAAAGAATTCTTAGGCTATGATATGCCTAGAGTTGACTGTTAAGCATAAAGTTATAACGTTTCTCGTATTCGTACCTTTGTTGAGAACTATCTGGGCTATACTTGAGGTTACAAAGAGGCTAATTCCCAATAAACTGAGTAGTTACTATTTCTGCGTTAGATTGCCGATTTGAGTTGTAATAACACACTTTGCACATGCCTGCTCTATGGCATGTTAATTATACCAGTCCAGGAGCATGTGAATCTTATTTCATATATCATATATATGTGTACTTAATTGATTTCTCCTGTATGATATGCCTCGACTGGAGGCATGTGACCATGCCAGGCGGATTATTTTATTAGCACATGAGTTGAATGTGCGGATCCATATATTGATACTATAGCATGTGAGTTGTCCGTGCAGTTGATGTTAATGTGAGCTCTAGGAGAGCTGGTTACCATTATTAGATTCGTGTTTCTTGGTTCTACTATATATGATGAGCTCATAGCATTGCGGTTGTGGTGGTGCTTGTTGAAATTGCAATACGTTTCTCTTCTTTGAGACATTTCCCATTTTTGGGTACATGGATTGCGCAGTTGTGACTTGAGTTATATTGGTGTGTCATGTTTGTGGGATAGTTGTGTTTAATAATATAAGGTCATTGGACCTAGAATATGTACTATCAAGTTTGATTATGGTATATTCGGGAGGATAATATTGAAAGTCGGTTTAGAAAGTGATTATGGTTCTGGTTGGGGCAAGAGAGCTCCATGACTTGTTGATATGACAAGGGGTCATGAGATTCTGCGTGTTTCTTTCATTATCAGCAATGTATGAAGGTTTTGGAATGAGGTTTTGTTTGATATAGGGTTTAATACTAGTATTAGGTTGGTTTTGAGTAGTTACTATGATTGGGAATAGTGATGCGAGTATGCGAGTTATGTCGTATGTTATATGATTATATATGGGGTTATGGTCATAGCTTGATACATCTTGTTCAAACTTATATAGTGGGTAGATGTGAGACTCGGGTCTTGTAAGGAATTCTAAATGTTGGAAATTAGGTTCTATGTTTTACGGACTAAGGTTAAAGTAATGATCTTCAATTATGTTGTGTTGTCAGGCCTATATGAAATAGGGTGGCGTGGGATCACCACGGGTATGTGCGTGGTAAGATGGAATAGTGATTTGATTGCTTGGAAAACAATGCTTGGCACGTTCGAGGACCAACGCATGTTTAAGTGGGGGAGAATGTAACGACCCGACTTGTTGTATTGAACATCTACGTTACTACCGACAATTTGAAGTCTTGATCGGCTTCGTAATATGTACTATGACTTGTGTGAATTATCGGCTTTGGTTTTCGGATGATTCGGCATTTAATTGAGAGAATAATCCTTGTTTAGAAGTTTAAATGAAAAGAGTTGACCGATTTGGCTTTTTGTGCGAACGACTCCGGAATGGAGTTTTGATGGCTTCAATACCTCCGTATGGTGCTTTTGGACTTAGGAGTGCGTCCGGATATTCATTTTGAAGTTCGTAGTTAAATTCGACTTGAAATGGCAAAAATAGGAAATTTAAAGTTTAGAAGTTTGACCGGGGAGTTGACTTTCTGATATCGAGGTCGGAATCATATTTTGGAAATTGGAATAGCTTTGTTATCTCATTTATAACTTGTACGCAAAATTTGAGTTCATTCCGACTTAATTTGATAGGTTTCGTCATCGAACCTAGAATGTTCGATGTCGATTCTTCAAGAATACGTGGTATCCCATTAAGAAAATGAGCTCCAAATTCAGTTTTGATTGCAGTATTAGATCTGTATTGAAATTATGGATCCATAGCAAAGAGAATCGTTGAATTCGGACATCGTATGAGAGAGTTATGCCCATTTCCGTGTCGAGAATGATTTCTTATCGATGTCAGATCCCAGGGTAGCGTGGGGCGCTATCCCTAGCACTGGAACTGCTGGAGGTGCTGGAAAGGGCACCACAGGCAGCACCCCATGCCACCTGTGGCGCCACACACGTAAACACCATATAAAACAAGGGTTTTCAGCCATTTTTGACCAAAAAAAAATAAAGTTGGGGAGTTCGGTTTAGGCGATTTTCACGGATAAACATTGGGGGTAAGTATTCCCTATACTCTATTGATTATATTTCATGAATCCATATTCATTTACATCATGAATCCGTGAATTTATGAAAGAAAAATAAGATATTAATAAAATCATCTAAAAATGTAAAATGAAGAATTGAAGGTCAATCTGATGTCGGAATTTGATAATTTTTATATGGTTGGACACGTATCGGAACAGGTGTTCGGATTTTGTGAGTTTCGTCGGATTCCAAGATGTGGGCCCTACTGTCGATGTTTCGAGCGAATTGAGAATTTTTGTAAATTGTTAAATTGTAAGCATTAGAGTAAGTTGTGATTAATTTGCACATTGTTTGAATAGATATGAGTCGTTTGGCTTGAATTGAGGAGATAGGAAAGCGTATGGAGGTTGATACGCGCAGAATAGAATTTTCAGATTATTGTACAACTTGCTCGGTATTGGATTTGGCTTATTTGAGGTAAGTAACTCTTCTAATCTTGGAGCTGAGGGTATAAACCCTGAATTATACGTGTTATGTGTTTGGTGTTGAGGTGGCGCACATACTAGGTCACGGGCGTGTGGGCATGCACCATGTGAATTGTGATTCCGTTATTCCTGTGGTACTGTATAGTTACCTGAACTTATCTGAAATCATGGAAATCTCTACGTACTAGATCTATTGAGCTGAGAGTCATGTTAAAATCATGTTGAGGCTATATGCCATTATTATTGAGACCCACAAAGGTCATATTGTTGTTGAATTTGTTTAAATTGAAAATTTTAAAACTCAGTCATGTTCATTCATTTCAAATCATCTCTCAGCCTCTGTTGCTATTTATTGATTCATCATATCATTATTTTGGGCTGATTTTTATGACATTGTGAGCCCGAGAGACTGGAGAGATTGATGACTGAGTGAGGCCGAGGTCCTGATGGTGAGGATATTTCTGGGATCAGGCTGCGCGCCACAGCATGTTTAATTGATTTATGCCATGATTGGCTTGTTATAGCGCTTGGGCTGAAGGAGCCCCTCCGGAGTCTCTACACACTCCAAGTAAGCGCAGGTACCTACTGAGTGCGAGTGCTGAGTGCGGGTGCCGAGTTACTTGGGGGGATTGAGTGACTGTGAGGCATGAGTAACTGTGAGGATTGAGTGACTGAGAGGACTGAGTGACTGTGAGGATTGAGTGACTGGGAGGACTAAGTGACTGGGAGGATTGAGTGACTGGGAGGACTGAGTGAAATGATACTTTAAGAGTATGCATATTGTTTTATCACTGAGGTGCATCGCATTGACATGCACACTTGACATGCATGCATAGAGATGCATTTTCCTCATGCTGTACGGTATCACATCATTCATGACTTCTCACACATATTGGCATATGGGCATATTGATGTATTTTCCACTGGCTATATGGAAAGAAAATGAAACATCTTATTTATTGTTAAAAGGAATTTTGGGAACAATTTTGTTTCAAACTTACTCATATTTTTGGCAACTTTAGTAAAAGACTTGAGTTTTCACTGATACACTTGAAAGGCAGAGCTATTTTTAGAAATCATGAATAAGTTGAGCATGTTATTGTTGAATTATTATTTGTGCTGCTTTAAATTATATTGTTATGAAATATTGTTGGCTATTAGTGTTAGACCCCGACTTGTGTTCCAACTCGTCATTACTTTCAACTTAAGGTTAGGTTTGTTACTTATTGAGTACATGGGGTCGGTTGTACTCATACTACACTTCTGCACCTTGCGTGCAAATATTGAATGATGATGTTGATGTACTCGACGAGAGATGGAATTGAAGACGTACATGCATTCCGATTGTAGCTGCCTTTTGTTCATGGTAGCCTTAGATTTATAAGAATCTGTTTATGTACATTTCGAACAGATGATGTCTTTATTTCATACCAGTTTTTGTAAATTCTAATCTTGGAAGCTCATGATTTGTACTACCAATCCTTGGGGAGTGTATTAGAGTCAGTTATATATTAATGGAATTGGATAGTTATTAATTGGCTTACCTGACGGGTCGGGTTAGGTTCCATCATGACTAGATGGATTTTGGGTCATGACACTAATGCAGTGTGATTTTATCTTTTATAGGAATTTTAATATGGCCTCCTCTTTGAATAGAGCTATTGAATCCGTTGATGAAAGTCAAGCCTATTATAATACTCCATCTCACCTCCAGGAAGGAGATGAGGAACCTTTACCTAATCTAAATCATCATCGTGTTAGTGAAAATGAAGTGGGCAGTAATCGAAGAGCAATTGGTCATTGTACTCCTATTATGACTCCTCCATTTCAGTAGATGACTGAGTTCTTTTGTCACTTGGCTGTGACAATGTCAGAACCTAGTGAATAAATTTTGAGAAGATGAGGAAAATGGGTGGAGTTGAATTTGAAGGCACTATTAATCCCCCAGTAGCTGAACAATGGCTCGAGCATATGAAGAGGGTCTTTGAACAACTAGAGTGTAATAATGCTGCCAAATTTAAGTATGCTATCTCTCTTTTACAAAAGGATGCCTATGATTGGTGGGTAAGTGTGCCAAATGCAAAAGCAAAACCTCTGGTGCTTACTTGGGATGACTTCGTGAAAGCATTTCGTGCGAAATATGTTCCCCCTGTCTATTGTGATGCTAAGAAAAAAAGAGTTTCTGAATTTAAGACAAGGGAGTATGTCTATTGCAGAGTATCAACAAAAATTTCTCAAGCTTTCTTGCTATGCTGGAGGTATTATTGATGATGAAAGAGACAAGTACAGAAGATTTGAAGAAGGTTTGAATGGTTCAATCCGAAAATCTGTGGCAATCTTGCAACTTGAAGATTTTTCCAAGCTAGTTTCGGCTGCTCTTACTTGGGAAAGAATTGACAAGGAAGAAGCTAGTAGGAGAGAAAACAAGTTTAGGACGGGTAATTCAGATTATGGCGGTCCATCCAAGAAGGGAAAGTTTGACTATTCCAAGACTGAAAGTGCACAGAAGTCATCATATCATAAGTAGAATACACTAAATTTCTCTACTGCTAGTACTCCAAGTTATGGCCAAGGCAAAACTTATACACCTACTTGTGCACAGTGCGGGAAGAATCACTATGGTGCCTGCAGAAGAGCTTCTGGTGCTTGTTTTAATTGTGGAAGTTTGGATCATAAAGTGAAGGATTTTCCTAATCCTAATCCTTTTTCTTCTACACATACAGAGGGCTCAATTCAAAAGCCTGTCACTACTTCTTCTCAAGCTAATGGTGGTGCAAAACCTAGAAATATGCAAGCAATGGGTTCGGGTGGAGCTAATCAGGGTAGCGGGTCGAGAGGCACTGCACGAGTCTATGCTACGAGACAGAAGAATGACCAAGATGGCCCAGACGTGGTTGTTGGTCAATTTCACTTATTTGGCATATCTGTTGTTACATTATTTGATCATGGATCTTCGCATTCTTATGTTTGCTCATCACTTGCAATTCCTGATACTGTTAAATCTGTGAGACTTGATTTTGATGTGCTCGTAACGAGTTCATTAGGGCATCATGCTGTTGTTAATAGGATTTATCGAGATTGTCCATTCATGATTCAAAATCTAGTCTTCCCTGTAGACTTACTTGAAATGACCTTCCAAGACTATGATATTATTGTTGGTATGGATTGGCTCCATAGGCACCATGCATTGGATTATTATAGGTTGAAGCAAGTGACTTTTAGAACTCCTGCATATTCACACATAGTAGTTCAAAGAGAAAGATCATTGACATCTAATACTATTTATGCGGTCTTGGCAGTGAAGATGATTCGTCAAGGTTGTGATGCCTATCTTGGTCATACAGTCGATACACGATTTAGGGAGTCCAAGTCTTGAGGACATACCAACTGTGTGTGACTTTCCTGATGTATTTCCCGATGTTCTTCCTGGGTTGCCTCCAGAAAGGGAGATTGAATTTCCTATAGAGTTTGTCCCTATAACTACTCATATTTCTACCGCTCCTTATAGAATGGCTTCAGCTAAATTAAAAGAGTTGGAGGCTTAATTGCAAGAACTTCTTGAGAAAGGTTTTATCCGTCCCAGTATTTCGCTTTGGGGAGATCCTGTTTTATTTGTGAAAAAGAAAGATGGCACTCTTAGGCTTTGCATTGATTACCGACAGCTGAACAAGGTAACAATAAAGAACAAATACCCACTTCCTAGAATCGATGACTTATTTGACCTACTGAAGGGTGCCAACTTGTTCTCAAAAATTGACTTGAGGTCTGGATATTATCAGTTGCGAGTGATGGAGCAAGATGTTTCTAAAACTGCTTTTAGGACCAGGTATGGACATTATGAATTTTTGATAATGCCATTTGGTTTGACAAATGCTCCTGTTGAATTTATGGATCTAATGATCCGTGTATTCAAGCCTTACCTTGATCAATTTGTTGTGGTCTTTATTGATGACATTTTAGTCTATTTCAATAATAGAGAAGATGATGATAAACATCTCTGAATTATCATGCAAATTCTGAAGGACTGGCAACTCTACGCGAAGCTTTCCAAATGTGAATTTTGGCTGAGTGAAGTAGCTTTTTTGGGGCATATTGTATCAGTTGAAGGTGTGAAGGTTGATCCTAGTAAGATTCAAGCTATTGTTGAATGGAAACCCCCTAAAAATCCAACTGAGATCATAAGTTTCTTGGGTTTAGCAGGATACTATAGGAGGTTCGTGAAGGGCTTCTCTATTATAACTTCTCTTTTAACCAAACTTTTGGGGAAAGACGCCAAGTTTGTGTGGGATGACAAGTGTCAAGAGATCTTTGAAAAGCTCAAATCCTTATTGACACAAGCTCTAATACTTTCTTTCTCACCTGAAGGGAAAGATTATGTGATATACAGTGATGCATCTCACCGTGGCTTGGGTTGAGTTTTGATGCAAGAAGGGAAAATAATTTCTTATGCCTCTCAAAAGTTGAAATCACATTAGTTGAATTATTCCACTCACGATCTTGAACTTGCTGCCATTGTTTTTGCTTTAAAAATTTGGGGGCATTACATGTACGGGGAGAAGTGTCATATATTTACAGATCACAAGAGTTTTAAGTACATGGGTACACAAAAAGAGTTAAACTTGAGACAATGTAGATGGCTTGAACTCATCAAATATTATGATTGCACGATTGATTATTATCCTGGTAAAGCCAATGTGGTTGTAGATGCATTGCATCACAATTCCCTTGCAAGTTTAACTCTAAGTCATTTGCCTTTGCTTCTTGAATTAAGAGCCATAAAAGCTTCTCTTTAATTCTAATGGTTCTATCATTTCTAATTTGCAAGCCAAGCCAGTCTTACTTGAGCAGGTCCAAGAAGCGCAGAAGTTAGATGAGAAGCTTGTGAAACGGGTTGAAGAAGTCTAAAATGCAAGAGAATTAGATTTTACATTGAAGAAAAATGGTACCTTATTTTATAAAAATAGGTTTTGTGTTCCTAATTATGGTGAATTGAGGAAGGAGATCTTGATTCAAGCACATAGTTCACCTTATGCAATGTATCCTGGAGGTACTAAAATGTACCGGACCATCAAGGAGCACTACTGGTAGAGTGGTATGAATAAAGGCATTGCAGAGTTCATTTCTAAATGCTTGGTTTGTCAACAAATAAAAGCTGAACATCAAGTCCCAGCTGGTCTACTGCAACCCTTGCCAATACCTAAGTGAAAATAGGAAAGGATAATGATGGATTTTGTTTCTGGACTTCCACGCACTCAAAGGAATCATGATGCGATTTGGGTCATTATAGATAGACTAACTAAGAGTGTTCATTTCTTGGTAATCAGAATGGAGTACTCACTGGAATGCTTGGCAGAATTATCCATTAAAGAGATTGTGAGGCTGCATGGAATCCCTGTTTCTATTGTGTCTGACAGAGATCCAAGGTTTACATCCAGATTTTGGTCTAACTTGCAAGAAGCTTTGGGTTCCAGGTTGAATTTTATTACTACTTTCCATCCACAAACAGATGGCCAGTCTGAGAGAGTAATACAAATCTTGGAGGATATGCTTCGAGCCTGCATTATTAAGTTTGAGGGTAGTTGGGATAAATACTTAGCCCTGATAGAATTTACTTACAATAATAGTTACTAATCAAGTATAGGCATGCCTCATTATGAACCTTTATATGGGAGAAAATGTAGAACTTCTCTTTGTTGGAACGAGGTTGGTGAAAGAAAATTGGTGGGGCCTGAGATTGTGCAACAAACTGAAGATAAGGTAAAAATCATCAAGGATCGCTTAAAAATTGCTTCAGATGGACAAAAGTCTTATGCTGATCTTAAGAGGTGTGATATTGAGTATCTGCGGGTGATAAGGTATTCTTAAAGGTTTCTCCATGGAAGAAGTATATGAGATTTGGCTAAAAAGGTAAACTTAGTCCTCGATTTATTAGACCTTATGAAGAGCTTGAGAGAGTTGGCCCGGTTGCTTATAAACTAGCTCTTTCACTAGAGTTAGACAAGATCAACAAAGTCTTCCATGTTTCTATGCTTAGAAGATACTACTCAAATCCATCTCATGTTCTTCCTATCGAATCTATTGAGGTCAATCCTTAATTGACATATGGAGAAGAACCAATCTAAATCTTGGCGCATGAGATAAAAGAGCTTAGAAATAAGATATTCCCCTTAGTGAAGGTTCTTTGGAGAAATTATTCTGGCAAGGAAGCTACTTGGGAGCGAGAAGAGGATATGCGAGTTCAATATCAACACTTGTTTCGGGACTAGTATAAGGTACATTTCGGGACGAAATGTTTTTAGGGGGAGAGAGTTGTAACACCCCAAAGTTTTAACTAATATTTGCATTCTCGATTGAGAATATTTATAAATAAGATAAATTTTACGTCGTACTTCCTAAACGTGAATTTAAAAATATATAAAAATTTCTTAATTTAGGTTGTGTTAATATTGACAAAAAGTTTCATGGTGTTGCTATGTGTAACAATTAATATTATTTTGATGAATTGTGATTAAAAACACTAGATATTTAAGGTTTTGGGCTGCCACTCTTTTTATATTTATATAAAGATATTTAGTAGTTTGGGCAGCCAATTGTATTTCATACTTATCTAAAGTTCATAAATATTACTTATTTGACTTGCTTTTCTATAACCTGCTCTCATGTTTCCCTCTTTCATGAAAAAGCAAAACCCCTACCCTCTCCCCTCTTATCACCTGAAATACTTCATGATAACCATCAGAAATTTTCACTAAACCAACCAGCAAAACTAGTTCTTGGTGAAGCTCAAGTTTCTCCCCTCTTTTGTGGTAAGTTACTAAACTCATTTTTACACTAGACAGCTATGAGTATTTTCTTCGTATCTTCTTGTATAGGGGTATGTTTTAAGTGATCCAAGCTTTTCTGGAAAGATATTTCATAGATCTATAATGCTTATTCAGGCACCAAAACCTGATTTGTCTTTTATTTACCCGAAAATGGGTGATGAAGTACAAGGTAGGTACTGCCCAGATTTTCTGTTTTACAAGCCTTCCCTGTACTACTGTTAGTAATTTTAGCATAACGTTTTGTACAAAACTGATATGGGGGTGATTCAAGATTGTTTCAAATGGTAAGACATATATCTACAACTATAATGAAGACCATACAGTCTAGTTTGTCCATTTTCATCTTCAAAACTGAGTCACAACACAAGACAGTGATACTGTCCCGAATTTCTATTTAAAATATTTTGGGTAATTTGCACCAATATCATGTTTAGTTTGACATTTTAAATCATTAAAATTATATAGATATTTGATTATATATTTAAGGTATATATACCCTTGTAAAATCTAAGGGGAAGTGTTTGAGAAAGTGAACGAATTTTATTTGTCTATAGCGTAGATGATTCGAACGTCCTCAAGTTATGGTTGGACTATTTTGTGGTAAAACACCAAGGTTTGTGTATAAACTTTGTACTCTTTTTACTTGCTGCAATATTTTGAAATAACCTGATATTTTATTTTTCTTGTCTTCAATTTATATCATTGTATTCGTGTTATATCAAGTATTGTAATATATTCGCTAAATCGCCCACTCGTACGGATTTGCTTGATCATTTTTCATTCTTGTTAGGACTTTGTCCTTCTTGTAGGTGTGACTTTGTCACTCATCTTGGCATGCCTCTTGATTCGGATCTTTTGCCATCTTGACTTTGGATTTGTAGTTCCTCTTAAATTATGGAACTTGTCTGCGTTAAGTACGAACTAGGAAGCCATTTTGAATATGGTTCTTGATTCTCTTGAATATTGTGTTTTGACCCTACTTGATTTGGGGCTTTGGTCCATCTTAATATCTGATTATACTTAGTGTGATGGCATGACGTACATATTGGGGGAAAAATGGATATATGGCAAACTCTCTTGGATTGATAGTATACGCTTTCTCGACTCTTGAATCTTGAACATTGTTATTGATAATTGAAAATATTTCAAGGTTTGATATTCGATAATTTTGATATATTTATTCACTTGTTTTAAATTATGTTTAATTTGAGCTACCTATGACTGAAAAAGGGAATTGGAGAATTTAATAGCTCCAAGCCCAAAGTTTATATGCCACTAAGCTTTATGCTTAGCGATAGTTGTTTTCTATCGTAGGTAATGTACGGGATGAGATTTAAAGACGGCCTTATGAAGTAGTCTTTTTTGGTAGCACTTATGGAGATCACATTTGCATATGCACCTAGATTTTGTATAGTTTTGGGACTTGTACATGATCTATATGTCACACTCATGTACGTTATTTTGGAGGCTTGTTGGATCTTAAGACCAAAATCTTGTTACTTGAATTTGGTAACTTATTTTTTTATTTTAGGGTGTGTTAATAACTCAAGTCTTGTAATATGCTAAATTTACATTGTCTTGTAAAAATGTACAAAGGAGAAGACTATTTTTATTTTAATTTTATTTTTACTCGCTAGTTTGAAATTTATGTACAATATGAACATGCAGTGATGTTGAACGAAAAGTATAATTTTGTTAGAAGTTGCTTAACTTGTTGATTATTCAAGAAGGGTTATATCACCTTGTGCTAATATTTTGACATTGTATTTTATAAAAACAATTCTGAAGTGTATTTTCTAAAACAAAAATATTGCACTTTGAACCTTTATAGCATGAGCCTATTTTCGCTACTAAATTATTCTGAATATTTTTTTAGATTAATATCTCCTTAATGTTGTAAGTAGTAAATTATATTTTTTTCGTAAGTAGAAACCTCCCAAAGGGGTTGCTACACATGCATTTCTCATGGTCACTCATTCCTCACAATCACTCGGCACTCGCACTCAGTAGGTAACTGCGTTTACTGTGGGTGTGCAAACTCCTGAGGGGCTCCTTCAACCCAAGCACTATAATAGGCCAATATGGCCTACTACGGCGTGCATCCCGATCCATATAATAATAACATGTATAAAGCCAATATGGCCTGCTGCGGCGTGCAGCCCAATCCCATATTTATCCTCACAATCAGGCCCTCGGCCTCACTCAGTCATCAATCTCTCCAGTTTTTCGGGCTCAAAAATGTCATGAAAATTAGCCCAAAAATGATGATATGATGTATCAATAATTAGCAACAGAGACTAAGATATGATATGAAATGAATGAACACAACTAAGTATGAAATTACAATTTAAACAATTAATTCAACAACAATACGGCCTCTGTGGGTCTCAATGATACCGGCATATAGCCTTTGCATGATTTTTAACATGATTCTCAACTCAATTTTTTAACACATGAAAGTATATGGATAATGCCAAGATTATTTGACCACACAATTTTACGAAATCAATTACGTCACAATTTCTACGGTGCACACCCACACGCCCATCAACTAGCATGTGTGTCACCTCCAAACAAATCACATAATACGT